CTCTTCCAGTCCAGCCCTGCAACCTCTCCCTCACCCATGGGCTGACCCACCAGCCCAAAGCAGTGAGCCATTTCAATACCCAGCTCACTTCAGCTATTATATGAACACTACACCCATGGACCAAACCTTATGGCCTTGTAGGTTCCAGCTAATGGCAGTGACAACCCCACCCCCCAGGACCACACACGAGTGGCAGAAAGTCACTGCGAAATCACACCTCAGAAGAGGACACCTGAGTAAAACAGCTCCACAGGCTGAGGGCAGGTGCCAAATTGAACACCTTTGCCAGACTGAAGGCAGCAATATGCAGCATATAATGCCTCAGACTCATCTCTCCTAATACCCTTAGTTTTATTATCTGGCTGTGGCTAAAAGCAATACCAAAGGCACTCATAGGCTGGATGCCACCTGCAAACCACAGACTGGGGACCATTCAGCTGTGAAAAGGGAAGAACCAAACAGATAAAGGTGATTTGCCCCTCTCTCCTCCCTTAACTCTTTCCATGCACTCTTCTGAATTGCTTCCTTTAGGAAACAGTTCTTGGATATTGACCTGATCACAGAGCTTCTGAGATCCCATGCTGCCCATCTCCCTACTGCTTAGACAGGGAGAGCTCCCCATACAGGGAGACATAGTTTCCCACCTTTCTGACGCACAGGATAATCTTAAATACCATTTTGGCCATGTCACTCTCCCTTGAAACGTGCAGCAATGCTAATTCTCTATAAATGGGAGCTAACTGTTACAGCAGTGGGCACGCTTTAGGCAAGTGGAGAAGAAGGGAGTATAGAGCGCTAAGGCAGAGTAAGTCCAGCTGCGTGGGTGATTGAGCCTTAGGGAGATGAAGGACTCTGGTTTGGTCCATATGGAAAAGATAAGAACTAACGTGGGGTTGGCACCTGCCTTTCTCTTGTACTGAGCCTCTCTGCTGGGGCCCTCATGGGGGGCCACCCAGCCGTGGTGGCTGACAGTTACTCTTCCAGCTTCTGACTTCTCCCTCTGTGGCGTGTTTGCCTCATCTGCAAGAACTCCTTTCTATTCCCATTTCTTTCCCTTGGGCTGATCTCTGAGAAAGGACTGAGGTTTCTCAGCCACTTAGGCTCCCTGCCTCAAGCCAAGTCTCTCAGGCCCTCAGAGACAATGCAGTCACTGTTTGATGGGAGCATCTGTATGCCATGCCAAAGGATGATGAGCCAAGTATGAGGCAAGCCTATGGCAGGCATCTACTATAACAGAACAGAGAGATGGCTCATTCACCTCGCCTGCAAACTCCCCACCCCGTTCTCCAGCAACGAAACCTTGGATATCTGAGGTCAATACACAGACAATAGCCTTTGCTGCTAATGCAGAGCTGAGACATCCCCTATTTTGCAACACATCTTTCTATTGTCACCCCAGCTCCCATTCCTCTTAGCCTAGAGCTACATCTCAAGCTCAATCATTTTTGGTGCACCAGCTCAGACCTGCTGTACCCAGTGCTGTTCTGATCCCCCACCCTCACAGAAATCTCTCATCCTCATGGAAATACCTGTTGCTAATGAGTCCAATTCCATGGGGAATGACCCTTAGCAACTAATCTAATTGGTTAGGCATTGTAAGCCTGGTTAAATAGAAAGATTTCTGAGCTTGCTCACTCAGAAATCTTTGGGCTTTGTCCTTAAGTGAAAGACATAGGGAATGGGAAATCACATATTTGCATAAAAATTCAGGCTATTCACTTTCTGCTTTATTTAGTAAAATAAATGGAAAAGTTCATGTGACCTCAGACAACCAATCTGTTCCTAGTGTCAGGAGGGAGTAACAGGGGATGCCAGCCTGGCACCAAAAGCAAAAGAGAAGGAGGGAGCCATCATGAGGGAAACAGACCTGTCAGTTTCTCTGGGAACTACAGACTGTATCTCTGATACTGCCATTCTGCTGTATCACCCTCTGCTCTGACAGTGGTGGCATGGAAGGACCCAGGGTAGGGAAAAAACAGCTCCTGGAGTACTGAGAAAAGAGAGTAGAGCCAGCAAATGGGAAGGAAGGAGAGATTCCTAGAGAGGACAGACAACATGTATGTATATGGCACGGAGACAGGAAGCCATGGCTAACTTGGCCCCTTATTCCTACTGTCCCAGAAATTCCTGGGCAGTGCAGTTTAGTGAGTTATTCATACATCAAGAACAGGTGACTCTGGGCACAGTCATCCTGTTGGCTGAGAAGGGAATCAGAGTTCCTCACTGACGGCCTTCTCCTCTGGTTCATCTGGTTTATCTTCTTTCTAAAACACATTAGAGCAAACATTGCTGTTTTTCAACATGGTGATAATAGGAAATGAGCCAACTTAAAGACCTCCTCTTAGTCTCTATGCCACTGCTCTGCCTATCCCATTTCAGTTGCACAACACAGGCTCCTGATATATGAGGTCTCTGTGCTATTGCAAGGCGAGCTTTGGAAAAGAGGAGAACTCTAACACTGAATGAATGTGGAGATTAAATTGTCCTTTCCCCAACAGAGACCTCTGGTAGAGTCCTGGGTCCCTGTCTGTGTACTCCATTCTGCAGCCTTCTTGACAGATTTCCTTTCTATTCCCACTGTCTGTCTCTCTGATTCCCTCCTATCTGCCGCCAGCCACTGTCCCCATTCCCAGTGTCCAAAAGCATCCTTCATCCTGTTTCCCCAGCTGCTACTCTCAGAAAGTAGATGCTTCCACCGAGACCTTTACATAGTTGCAGAGGTCAGTGAAGTCTACTTGCTGTAGACTAGAAGGCAGAGGTCAATGTAGAAAGAGGCTCTCCAAACATATCCATCTCTGCTCTGCTCTAGACCTAATGCCTTTCTGATATCCAGGTACAAATGAAAATGAACGAGGAAGTGGCAGGGGTGGGGAAGAGCTCAAGCAACTGAGGCTATTCTCCTCAAGAGTTTTTTGAGTAACAGCATTTTCTCACAAGGGCCAGCTTCCTGTAGACTGCACAGGAGTTCCCCTTTACCTTCTGCTTTCTTTGTAAGAAAACATTACAGAAGTCCTGTACACGCTCAATGGAGACTTCATCCAGAGGCAGCACATCCCGCTCCTCATCTGGTGTGTGGAATATAGCCAGAGCTGGCAGCTGGGACTTCCTTAGTTCGAAGAATGACACCACTCGTTCATTGCCCTTCACATTGCTGTCTACCAGGACAAAGAGAATCTGTAATGGAAAGACAAGAGAAAGGGTGAGCAAAACAGACACTGAGAGAGAAAACAGATCCCCAAACAGTGATCGTACAAAGATTAACAGTGGCATTATCGTAATGAGTTAGGCTAGATCTGAGGAGATGTACCATACTCCATTAGGACAACACTGCCAACGTCTAACTGTTCCCTGCAGTGCATTTTTCTGTATTTTATCAAGTCTAGACTCACAAAAACTTACAAAGTATCTTATTTTTCTTTCTTTAAAATGTATTCACCCTATGACAGGAAGGCAGTCTCCATTTCTATTCTCTTTAATCAATGGGGAAATAAGACGTCTGCTGTCTTGGTGGAACATGTAGAAGAAGCTGACTCTTCTCCTTGAGTGTTACTAGGATAAGATGATCACATCCTTGCAAGACCCAGAGCAGCAGGGTAAAAAAGGTTTCTTTGTGTGTGCATGGAGAACGAAACTCAACCACAAGAACATGGCAGTAAAGTCCAGGGCAACAGGAAACAGCAAGGATGAGAAAGAGTGTGTTGAAAGTATGAAACATTATGGATGTATTTAGGTTAGCTTCAGTGACTAGAAATGAAGGTGCAATGGTCTGGGACAACACCCACAAAGACCAGCTCAGTGGAGAATCACTCAGAACTGGTGAGAGAAGCCAAAGAATGAATAAGCCAGCACGAGACTGGCCTACAGTATTCTGGGCTCCCGAATATTCTCAGAGAGCAAGAGCAAGCCAAGGATTGGTGACCAACTCCATGATTTCATTTTAGACATAGGTTTTATCTCTGATCTTACAGTAGGAATTTATAAAAATTTAAAATTCTGGACCCTGAAAGATTATCAATAACATGTACCTCTCAAAAATAGTTGTTAAATTATCAGTTAATGCTAATTGCAAACATTATATATGCATTTCATAAAATAAAATAAATACACAAATTGAGAAATTTAATCAATGACCTGATTATCCATTGGCAGGTGACATCCAAGCCAAAGAAGCAAATATCCAGTTAACATGTGTCATTTTATCTTCCCTGTATCCTGTGTGATCTACTGGGCCTAGCATGTTAAACGTACCTATGCACATGGATATGCCTTAACTTATTAAAAAAAAAAAAGAAAACTTTAAAAAAGAAAAAAATGAAAAAAATGAAAATTAACGTGCTGTGAAGATAATGGGCCTAGTTCCCAGCCTGTGACTCATGATTTTCTTTTCAATCAAGAACATTCACATTAGTTCAAAACTTTTTTCTTTTCTAAAAATAAACCTGGTAAATCTCCAATTCTTCACATTAAAAAATTTGCATTTATAAAAAAACAAGTTTCTCCAGAAAACTTTCTTAGGCAATAGCCGATGGGAAGAAGGGAGAGTTAGACTAGTAAAAGAGTTAACTGCAGTTAATCACTGTGATAAAGAACCAGGAACAGAAGTTTCGCTGAACATGACTGATATTTACTACATGCAGTTTCTCTTTCAAAAGTCAACTGTGCCCCAAAGGCAACAATCTAATGAACAGACACATTGTGGGGACCTTCTCCTGGAGAGCAAAATTCATCCTTTTGGGAGAGTAAACCCTCGTGCCATTTTGGCCTGAGAATCCATAAGCTGCGCACAGGAAAGGGACATGATTTCACCTCCACACTAGGTTGAGATGAACTTGGTATGCATTCCCATATCATCTCACCCAATCAGTACACATACATGCTATGATTGGTGATGTGTCCCTGCCCAGATATGAGATTATACCCAAAGTATAAACAGTGTATGAGATGACTGCACTTGGACATGGATTACTAGGCAATCCCCTTAAAGTGCCAAACTGGAGAAAAGTATCTGTGATGAAGGATCTGATCTAAGAGATGAATGTCAGGTTTTCAGCTGGAGCAGAAGGAATTTGAACAATGGTTATATTTCAGAACTCTTCTTCCAATTAGCGAGCTGGAAATAGAAGCTGGTGTTGGAGGGAAGCACTCTCAGAGGGACTGCAGAAGAAATACTACCACATTTTGACCAAATGTCTTTATGTCATTCACCAACTTTTGATTTTCTCCTTGAAAGATCCAACAGACAACAAAAAAGCATTTTGTTAATCAAATGCTAATTAAGAAGTTTATCAAAAAAAGTATTTAGAATTCCTAAGCTGTTAAAATGTTAACACTTTCTATGCTAAAACTCTTCAGCTTTAAAATAGACTAATAGCATTTTAAGATAGTAACATGAATTGTATTCGACACTCTTCACTTTATCAAACTTCCAGCCTTTGTTAAAAATCCTCAAATTAAAAAGCTGTAAATATTTTATCTATGAATACAAGAACAGATAAGAATAAAAAAATAAAAAGGTTGAGGTTGAGACCTCCAAGCACTTTTTGTTTTCTTCCATTATAGAAGAAAAGGACTAAAATACAAACAACTGGCCCATCAGCTAGAAAGGCTAAGACAGCATTCACAGTTCTTGACTAGCGTGTGTCTAGTGACGCACATTTGGCTCAAAGAGTTTCAGGGTGCAGAAGTACAGCAAAAGTTCCTTCCCTTCTTGTGAGAGATATTCCACAAATATAGGACAGTCTGCAATTGTATCTGACCATTCTCACTTGAAAGGAGATACCTTAATGCCTTCACTTGGCTATTAGAATGATTAATTCCTGGTAAGAGCTGTGATATGGCACAATTCTTTTGTTTGTTTCAACAAAAATAAATAAATTATGCATCCTATGCTGGATATGCTCCAGTGTTCCTGCCAAGGACTGTGTAGTCATGAAGTTACAACTTTGAGGCAGTCTGTATGGTGGATTTGTACTGAGGCCACAAACACAGGAAGCCTGATCTCCTCCAGCAGCTGGAAATCAAGCAGATTCCTAAATGGGGACGTTTCCATGACTGATTTCTCCTGGTGGAACTGACATTTTCTCATGATGAATTTATTCTGTTGAAAGATTCTCAACCAGCTGTAATGATAAAGAATGAATGCAGCAACTATTGAAAATTATACTGACCACCCTGTAAGGAAATAAAAGGTCTTTTACCCTGACTGTGCCTTTATGCTTCCACGGACAGGAGCCACTGTGCTTACAGTACTGTAGCCACACTGAAAACCTTTCCCAGCATTTGAGGAGACAGAAGACAAAATGAAAACATGAGCCATTTTTCTGCGATAAAGCAATTTTTGTGATACATAATTTCAACAATTCACTCTGCTGCATACATGGTCCCTTGACTGGTTTCCTCAGTGTCCTCACAGTGATATGATACTGACTATTCACGCATCAGACATGTTACCCTAGCTCTTCATAGATCAAGTTAAGAGGCTAGATTTGAAACTATTCCTGCATTTCCCTCAAGGAGAAACGTTTTTTTGCTTATTTAGGACAACCAAATACTACATTTCCATAAGAAAATAAAAACCCTTCTTAGTGGACATTCTTAAGTTGTTACTCACATTCTCCACATGAGACAAGATTCACCTTGCCAAACTTCTGTCATTTAAAACTTCCTCTGGTCTCAGCCAGGTATCTAGGCCCTCTCTGCAATAAGAGGTGGGAAGCATTTTATTCCACCTATTCTAGAAGGGAAGGAAGGACATGCCTGTCCCTCTCCATCAGTGATGGAAAGAGCCTATGGCCTTAGCTAGGGCTACTTATCAAAGTTACAGTTCATCAAAACAAATTCCACTTCTGATGCCAACTCTCATATCACTGCTAGAAACCAGTAGTTTCATCCAAAAGAGAAGGCTTGTCTTCTGTCTTGAACTATCCTGTACAATAGCTGTTTTCTTTGGTTTTCCACAAAATTGTTTCATCTTGTACCAATCTACTCATCTGTATTTGGAGGCTTGCTATTAGAGGCAGTGAAGGATATACTGCATGCCTGAGGCGCTCCCAGCACCAATTCCTCGCTCCACATGATATTCCAAGAACACAGAACACAGAGTGATATAATTTGTGCACTATCACTCAAAATAAGCTCTCCTTCAGAAAATTTTTAGACTAGTGCTGTCTTGGCGTCTTGACAACTTGATTCCTAGCCCAGGGCTTTTAGAACATGAAGTTCCTGGTAGGATATGGCACGATGTTATTGCCCAAGGAATTCAATTTAATCGAGTATAGTACTCCAATGGTAGAAGCCACTTTCATGTTTACTATTTTTTTCTCTAAGGAAGACAAACAGGAAGGATGATCAAGCCTCCTACCCAGTGTTTGACATTGAGCTTTACAGAGCTACAGCCTTGATTCTTTGAGAAGACTGCATAAGCAAAGAGATCAAATTCTTAAGTTTGAGTAACTTCTCACATAGCTTCTGGTAAATCAAAGGAAAATGAAAACATTAGTCATGAATTTTTTAAAAAAAAAAAGCTATAAAAACAACTCTACTGCAGATATCTGTCAAGTGACATAGACAATCCATGTTTACAAGTTTCCCTGTTTATTGCTAAAAGAGACATATCTAAATATTCTCTCTCTCTCAATTTTGGAGACATCAGTGTCTCACAAGAAAGATAAAAAGTGTATGAATGACTGTCTGCAAGAGGAGGGACACTGTCCTTGCATTTCTATGGAAGAATTCCTAAAGAAGACTAAGCAGTTTCTCAGAATTCATTTCTAAATGGGTTCCACATATAAGTTAAAAGCAACTATGTGAGCATCATTATCCACATCATTTTGACGTTGCATACAAAGTATATCAGTTGCAGCAAAAGCTGCTTTTGCTATTTCCCACATTACCTTATTGAAACTTCTGCAAACACCCATGAAGTTCACCAGCTGTAATTGTCATATTATATTCAGACAACGTGGAAAGAAAACTGAAGACGCTTATGCTAGTTTGGCTCAATGATGCAAATACTGATATTTCCTTTCCAGCAGAAAGCCTGGATTTTTGGCAGTGCTTTTCTAAATAAACACATGTTTGATTGCCATGGGATCTTTCCAATAAGTCTGGTGGATTCTCTCCTGCAGCTGCAGTGCTCTGAGTTCTGTCTGTTTGCTGCTACCCATCCAAAATTTTTTTCTCAAGGTCTGCTAGAAAAGAACCATATTTCTTGTTATTCTTGTCAGATTTTGGTGACTTACCATTTTTTTAACATTAGCACTTTCCTCTCCAGCTTTTTATAGCCTTCAGGTTCCAATATAATGTCTAGAGGGACCTAGAGGGTCTTCAGACAGTCACTACTGCTTAGGGTACAGTTCAGGCCGTTTTCAAATAACAGCCCTCACCCTACCTGCATGTTGATCTTCCAGTTGAAAACCTGAGCTTCCTCTCAGCCAAAAATGAAAAGACCGTAAACCAGAAATGAAGGGATCATAATCCAGGAACTGGTAGTGGATCACCTCCTTCACCATCCATTCTCTTCTCTCAGCCTGCAGCAGTGTGAAAGGATCGGTACCCCCTCCCCTGCTTGGAAACCCTCTCAAGCCTGTGCATGTGCTCTGTGCTGTCACTGTGAAAAAGGTACATGCACCGAATCTCCCCTCTCTGTTCTTGCACTCTGCAACCACTGCAAAACACTGCAGGCTGGCGTGGTACAAGCTTACAGGGAGCCTGAACACCTCTCCACTGGACAGCAAGGATTCCCTCCTTGAACTTCTGACAACACTAACCCACAGACAACCAGCTTACAGGCTATGAATTATTCACCAGTAATTCTGAATAAAATTTAATTCAAGAATCTTGCATTTATGCATAGACAATTTATGAGCTACAAAAAGCCATCTTTAATAATTTACTTGTTTGAAGTAAACCTGAGTTAACTTGGTAGCCCTGATAACAGATAACTCCACTTGGAAAAATTAGCCAACAGTTTTCCATGCTACTGTGCAGTGGCTGCTTCTAGTACCCAAACTAACTCATGCATTTCTACATGACAAAGCAATGGAGACAACCCTGAGTGGACATATTGCTCTGTTTACTCTTTTGTATCTAGATCTAAGACCCAGGGGACCCAAACGGATGGATCTTAGCTCTCTCATACTGCTTTAAGAGGGAAGTCCAAATCACAATTTTAGTTCTCAGAGTGCAACTCCTTTGGGGGAAAGAACTTGCTATACTCTCAATCACTTCATCTATGTGTCTTGCAGTATCACTGCAGCGAAATGGTAATAATTAGTCAAATTCTCATATCTTTAGTCTCTATATTTCACTCTGGCAAACTCCCACTATACTAATTTGATGGGAAACTTGCCTACATGAATAAAGAAAAGAAACTAGGTTTGGCTTGCGGCTAATTCATAAATTATCTGGACTTTGGTACAACATTTTATCCGATGCTTTGTAAAGTATTTCTAGGAAAATTAACTTACATCCACTCAGGTCTGGGCTTGTCACATAAAGTGAAAACTGGACGCAGCCACATCAGCAAATGATAGTGATGCTGAACAGTGATGCGTTGCATTAGAAGAGTTAGGTGGTGGGGGCAGACTTGTATCAAACTCTGCAGTTCATGGAGAACAGGGATAATGGTGTCACTATAGCACGCATCTCATAAGAGATGGCTGGAATTTTTCAGAGGAAGGAGTTTTATTTTATCAGTATGGATTTATCAAAGCAAAATACTTTTCAAGAGACCTTTTGGCTTTAATGCATGGTTTCTGACTGGTCTCTTGCCAACAGGTGGGAGGTCCAAAGTACTCCTGCCATGAACTAATCTCAAGACTTTTGAGGGTGCATGGTTCTGAGGCAGCCCCTCCATTTTAAGCTGAGGATATACTTGCTTTTTAATCTGCCCCTTCAATAACACAAGTAGATGCCTGCAGGTGTTCTTGTTCCCAAACCCCAACTTCTTCCAGCCCTTCGCTCCTCTGCTGCTGCGAGCTTCTGCCCACACCCCCGCTTGCCATTATCCCCTGCCCTAAACACCTTCCTGTTGTTCCCAATCCTGATTTGCCTGCCAGTTCCTTCCTCTGTTCCCTGGATACAAATTCCTCTGTAATCCAGCTGCTGGCAGAGAATCAGCCATGGGAAGATTTACTACTTGGGGAGTCAGCAGAGGGGTGGGAAGAGGAGGAAATTTCTCTAAAAGTCATCATCTATTCCACCACCTTACTGTGGGAAATCTGACAAACCCACCTGCCATTCCTTTAAAATAGCCCATTCCCCAGGACCCAACCAAAAGGCGAAGGGTTAAGAAGTACCATGACATTAATTGCTATCTGGTCACTTATATAACGCTCCTTGGCATCTCACAGACTGTATATACAAAATCACCTCTCACACCAGTGGAACGTAACCATCACGAGACTGAACTGCAGCAGATGTTTGTCATCTCCCAGTTGTAAGGGAACAAAACTGGATGAGAAGCAAGGAAGAACACAATGTCCTGCTGAGTGAGTGGGGGAGCAGGATAAAGAAGAAATTTTCCCCATAAGGAGGCAAACTGGCAAAAGATGAATAGATCCAACCCCTCCACTTGATTATCCAGCTAATCCTCTTTTCCTCCTATTTGGCTTTTGCTCCCCTAACACACAGGGTAGGAGATGATCTCCCCCCATCCACAGAATTAATCACTATTCTCCCTTCTCTCCCTGATGGAGCCTGTTCATCTCTGTTTGGACTCACCTTCCCCTGGAAGAGCTCTGCTGCCTCACGAAATCTGCGCATGCGCTCAGGATGCTCTGGGCACCTCTTGTCTGTGATCAGGAGGAGGTGAAACTGGACAGAACTGTGCAGCAGACCAACTGCTGTCTGCCAAAAACACAGTCATCACCAACAGAGAGAGAGAGACACAGGCAAGAGATTAAGAATATTCAATTTGCATTGAATGCACTGTCAGAGGGACATCAATTCTCATATTTTAGCTGAAGTTCCTTTGTAAATAATCCTTACAAGCAGGATAGCTTTCTTTGAAGTAGGAGTGATCCGATCTGGGTTCTTTACAGAAGCTCTTAACTTCCTGGTTTTACTGATTCCTGAGTCAAGAGTCTTAAGACCAGAAGGGCAAAGCCTCAGGATGGCCAGTGACTAGGCAAGGGGACTGTCTGGATACAGCAAGCTGAAGTCTAGAGGGGCAAGGAAGTGGATATGGAAGGCCAGTGAACACTAAATCAGGGTGTGCTGAATCACTGAGGTCTGGCACCTGGCAGAAATGGGAGCAAGAAAGTAGGAAAGATTTGTGGGTGTTGGGACTGGTGTGTCCCCTCATTTCCTTTCTTTAGCATTAAGCTGTATGTAGGGAGGAGGAGTCCCCAGTAGACCCCATTTCAGCAGCCCCAGGAGCTGGGCAGCCCAGAGGCCTGAGGGTTAACATTGCCTCTGCAGGTCTCCAGGAAAAGTCCCAGAGCTGGCAGTCCCTCCATCCGCTGGGGAAGGGCCAAGCAGGCAGCAGACACTGGCCCTCTGTGAGGAGACTGGGACTGGCACTGCCCAAGAAGTCACTACTCTGTCTCCAGGCTCTGGGCAATCTGTCATCACACTTCTCCTGCCCTCTTTCTGCAATGCAGCCTCTCCCTCAAACTAAACAGAAGCCTGGCCAGGCTATAGCTGACCTGCTGCCTCCTCCATGCCACTGAAACCACGAAGACGCAGATGGCCCAGCTCCCTGCCAGCACTTCCCTGAAAGAGCAGAAAGTTCCGATACCTTCCAAGAGTAACAGGGAAGGGGTCAGGGAGTGCATTTCTGCAAGGGCTGTGCACCACAAAGCATCTAGTTTTTTGGCGACTGGGACCTCCCTCTTAGCCTAATGTTTATCAGGCATTTTTTATCACTTAACTTCTGTGTAGTGTGCAGACAAGGCATGGGATAGCATAGAGGGGATACAAATCAAGGCTGAAAAGCGTTAGAAGAAATGGGAGAGGACAGGGCTGGAAAAACAGAGGATGAAGCCAGGCAGCAGCAAGGGGCACTACAGGGCTGGGCTGAGAGGGTGCAGTTGGTGCACCAGTTGCTCTGGCAACTCCACACAAAGGTGTGTTTGTTCACACAACCTTTTGCAAGAGAGCAGCGTGGCTTATTAGCGTAGGCTCATCAGCATGGCTGGATCACATCTGACTCTCCTGGAAAGTACACAGGGTAATCATTGCCTAAAAAAATTGCCTGAAGTATGTGGGCGAAACACTGAGGGCCCCAGGATAGGGATAGAAATTCTTGGCAGGGCTTAGTTTGATCCACGTGACCCAAGACTTTGCTGACCTGCAACATTCTTAAATGTAAACAGCATATGCACTGGGAATAAATATTTATGAAAATCCAAGATACTTTAGCAGAGCTGGGAGGGCTTCAGGTCTTGGACTGCAGGAGGCACTGTTAATTGTGGCATATTGGTACAACTCCAGAGGGTCAGGAGAAAACTAGAACGTGTACCGCAAGTCAGACTGGAGGGGACTGGCTGAATAGCTCAGGGACTTCTAGGTCTGGAAGACAGCCTGGGTACTGAACAGGACACAACAACACAAAGGATCATCAGAAATGTGAGAAAAGGAGCAATATTCTAATTAATTGCCAAAAGATACCCCGGAGGCTAAAATGTTACCAGGATTCAGAAGGACTGGGTATTTATAAAGATAACAAGAATATCCCTGCTGCCATTATTTCGGTGTTCTCAAAGGGCTCAAAGGACAGATGAGCAGGAAACAGCTTTTCTGTCCCAGAAAATACTCTGTGATTTTGAAATGTTTTTTATCATCCCTTATTACGATGAAAACCAAATCTACTTTGTTTGTTTGTTTGTTTGTTTGTTTTGAGAACAGAACTCTTACAGTCTTTCACTCTGGAAACAAAATGGAGTGCTTCAAAAACAAAATGCTCTCTCTCCTGGCAGGCTGCACCTGAACTAGGGAATGGCCAGCCCTCTTTGCTGGTCCTTGGCACCGGTTTCAAAGGTACAGCTTTGAAACAGGTTGGGCCATTCTCCTTTGCTTAAACTAAGCCTGGTCAGCACTGCTGTAGCTATTTGGAAGACCTCAAAAAAAAAAAAAAACCAGGAATGACAGTAGTCTCAGCCGTGCAGCCATCACGGCTTCTGAGACATATTGGCTCCACAGTAAGCAGTGAACTGCTGGAATCTCAGGAGTGCCTAAAAACCTTAATGCTTGGTACCCCACTGAGTAGGGGGAGGGATGCGGGGACCCCGCAATCGCCAGTCAGGGGGAGGGACAGTGAAGATGGCCAACATGGGAGCATTGTATTAAATAGTCTGATTTTGTTGAACTGGCAAATGCTGTTAGTTGCACATATGTGTGTGTGCAAACTCAAGGACCAGAGGAGGCCCGAGGAGAAGGCTGAGTGCCAGGGCAGGGGCTGTGAGGAGCTTGTAATTACCACAGGGTTATACTCAGTCACCAGCCGGAGCTCATTCATCCGAATGAAACGACTCATCTTCTCGGCATTGACTTCTTTCCCATCTACGATATCCAGATCCCTCCGGTCATCATCTGCCTGAAAACACGCAAAGACACCTACAGTCATAGCTGTCCCCTCCCTCAGTACTTCATCCAGAGCAGCCAAAGGATGCTCACTCACCAGCGCACACGGACACCCCTTGGGATACCACCTTTCTCTCCTCCCCACAGCGTAATCCCCATTTCGCGAGGTCCAGACCCATTAGATTTACAGATCTGCCTGGGCCTGGAGATAATTTTCTCCCACCCTCCCTCAGCCTCCCAAGGACAAGGCAAACTCATGGCATAATAGGAATGATGGAGGACGCCAGACATCCCCACAGTATCAGCTCCTACTGCACTGGAGACAGGGAGGATTAGCTGATAAACTTTTCTAGGGGCTGTGGGGAGAGATTACTGAAGTAGCCTCACTCCTTACATCGATCTTGGCTTTTCATCCCTCTTTAAAATCTTCATTTGCTTATTCTATTTCTTCTAAAAGTAATAAACATTGGCATGGGCCTGTATGGATTTCCTGGAAACATTGTGCAAGCACAAAATCTCTCCAATAAAAAGAGGGTTTTTTTGTCCAGTACAGCAGAAAAAAAATCAAGTCCAGCAGATTTTAGCTTTAGAGGAAAATCCATCCTGCCACACATCTCCCCACACTTCACCCACCCACTCAAACAGTGGTTTAATTTTTCGAGGTTTGCTTGACCTGGCAAACAGAGAAAAAGAAGGCAAACATTAAATAATAGCTAAACCATCCAGAGGGGCACAGTTGCTGTACAGTAACACCATGGGAGATGACTGAGCTGAGCCATAGGGATGCTGGGCTGTGATAGGCAATAGGATCAAAGTTTGGGATTTGAAGACTTTTTATACACGTTGTATGAGGTTGTTGGGGTTGAGGAAATGTCCACATACACACTCCAATTTTATTCTCTGCATCTGTACAACCTCTGAAAGTGCATGTTAGTTTTTCCAGTGGTGTGCAGACATCTAAAGCCCCCTTTGCTGTTCTGTGGTCATCAGCAAAGACTTTGATCTGGTGGGGGACCACTACACTCTTGTCTGGCCACCCAAACTGGTGCTTTTCAGACCGTACAGCCTGATTTCTCTCTCTGATTTGCTCCAGCATAAAATGAAAGGGCAGCTCCACTCAAGTGATGGGATCAGGCCAGTGCAACACCTGTGGGTGAGACCAGACAGGCTTTGGGAACCAATCTAAAGCACCCTGTACTCCACGGAAAGCCTTCTCTTGACTTTCACGGGCTTCTGCAAACACCTGGTCTCTATTCTGGGGCAGTAATATCCTAAACACACTCTCAATGGCCATGATTCCAAGAAAATAAGGCTGAAAAATATCTTACATCTAATAGTTTAAGGTCTGGTCAAAAGGTCTTTATCACTCCTTGTAATTAACTATTTAGCATCTGTTAATTATGTTCTTTTTAGGTCTATCAGGTCTACCTTCACTAGAATAAATCAGTCTAGCTCCACTATCTGAAAAGAAGTCTCACCAGGGGACAGCAGCCCCTCCTACAGCTATCATTATGGTTTAAACTTCTAAGCATTTTATGTGTTTCATGCTATGCAAAAGGAAAGGAGTGGTTTATGCCTCTGATTCACTGCTGTCCTGGTCATATATCTTTATATTCTTCAAAAGAGTATTTGATTGCAAGTACCTGTCTCAGTTCTTTTTTTCTGTTCTCTTTTAGCTCTGACCTCGTACTCCTACACGGTATTCAGCAAGGAATAAAAGGAAAAATAATGTACCTGACTAACTTAAATATAGGAAAAACTCAAAATTATACACATGAATTGTCAACCACATTTTACCCAGCTTGTGTATGTTTCTTGGGTTTTTTTTTTCTATTAAACTAGGGTTTGGCCGCAAAAGCTGGACCGTGAATGGGGAAGATTAAGTATTATCCAAATTCCAACACCACTTTCTTTTATCAAACACCCTCCCAATGCAATTAGCCTTAATATCTGTCACAGTGCAAAAACAAAGGATCCTTTCAATGTTTTGGAAGAAAATCATCATGACTAGGAACCACAACTGAGAGGAGTGTTGCTTCAAATTGCAACATCTGCCCATGGAAATAAAAGGTTAAATAAAAGGCCATGCCTACATGTTGCTCATTATTAGATCATTCTCCTTGCATTATTTGGATTAGGCCAGTGGTAAACACATGGCAGGAAATTATGAGAGAAAGGAGAACAAAGTGGCTTTATATAATCTTTATGCAACCTGGAGCTAGATATTGGCCAAGATATCATACTTAGTTTCTCTGGCACATAGAGCTTCCCAGTGTACTTAGAGCTCCTCTGACACAGCACTTGGGCTTTTATAACATCTTGTACTACCTAAGGCCCTCTCATCCTCAGATACACCTCTCTTGCCCCGTTTTTAAGTGCCACACTTGTGTGAGAAGAGGCAACGCAAGGAAATTCCGATAAACAACGGAATACTTGCTCTTAGCTTTTGTTAATATTCCTGGAGCAAGTACAAGACCCTTCCCAATATCATCCCTTTAAACTGGAGCAAACCTAGCTTCAAATTCAGAGTGAGGCACCTAAAATTACAGCTGGAGTCAACAAAAGTTTGAACTTGTACAGCACCCATCCCTAAGAAACTGCAAAGTAATGTTTTTAATGGGGCCATCTCCAAAGCGTAACAGCTAAGTTAGGACAGTGTTTGGGATTTCTTTCGGTGGTAGAGCATCTGTAACTGCAGAGACCCAGCGTGGATCTGGTCAGTCACAATGGAAAAACTGTGCATCCAGAGAGACAGCTTTGCCTGCCTGAAGTGACACACGGCAAGGTTTGATTTCAAGCTGTGTTGATCCATTGTAACATGGTCTCTAGACGCTTTTCATGTGTCTCAGGAGTCTTTCCAAAGCCACAGGAACACCATCCAAGTAGCACGGAGCTCCAGGCTGGTCGCTCAGAAACACAGACATCATTCTTTGCAAAGCACTGGGTGCTGGACCAGATCCACAGGACACACATTTAAAATGGAGAATCTCATCACACGTAAGACGTGTTGCACGTCTTAGGGATGCACGCTCTGCAAGTGAAAAGCAAAAGGCCACTTTGGAGCAGGAAGCTCTACAGATATGCTTTTTAGGTGCACGGGTAGACTGACTGTCAGTGATAAGCCTTTTTTGGCTTGCTAGCACTAAGCAGAGACGAAGAGCCTTTAGTCTTCATCTTTATCGCTACTACCCAGAGATTTATTTTCTCTTGTAATGCGATCAGGGGCCATTTTTCAGCTCTTGTTCTACAGCCTCTCTCACTAAAAATAGTCGGCAGTGTCATTTCTATCGAATTTTAATTCTGCCAAAATATCCTTCTGTACGGCACGGCGTTTCCCTGGCACTGAGCGCTCCTTGGAAAGAGCCCTGGCATCCGCCTGGCTGAGCTCTTTACGGGGCACCGAGGTGGCACCTGGCCTCCGCAGCAACCCGCTTTGCGCCGACAGCGCGCTCTAGGCACGCAGAGGGCTGCCCGTCCCACGCCCGCCCAACGCCTAGCCCTGCTCCACGTTTGCCTTCTCCTCTCCGAACATCCTCGGCCTACGACGGAGGATGCCGCCCTAGCGCGGCCGGACC